ATCCAGGACCTTGATCCAGGACCTTGAGGAACTCCGAGCGGATCTCATCTACCCCCGGGGCCCTGCCACCGAGGAGCTTTTTAACCACCTCGGCGACCTCGCCCACAGAGATTGGAGAGCCCAGCCCAGAGTCCCCAGGCCCAGCTTCCTCAATGGAAGACATGTTGGTGGGATTGAGGAGGTCTTCGAAGTATTCCGCCCACCGACCCACAACGTCCCGAGTTGAGGTCAGCAGCACACCATCCCCACTATAAACAGTGTTGGTGCTGCACCACTTCCCCCTCAGGTTGCAGGTTGACCCCCAACCTGCAGTAAATCCAAGGTTGGAAAACACAAACTTTCATGTTTGAGCTGGGATAAGTAAAAGCAAGTCAGCAACAGGCAGAAAAATCCAATAATACAATCACTTCATATAATAATGCAGTAGTGCCAATAAAGCCAGTATTACAGCTGAGAGCCATTTCTGTCTAATGGTAGTGTTTTATGGTGTTCATATCACTTGGTGCTTGCTGTTGCTCTACTTTAGAACTTTTTCTGGACCTTCTCCCTTCTCCCAAATGCTCTACTTCTGCTGAAGCGCCAGCAGGTGTGATGTCATCACCATCACCACCTTTGAATAGCAAACATGTGCTAAAAGTGTTCCTCCATTCACTGACAGACCTTTGGGGTCTCTGGACAACATTCTCAGGGGTTGGGCTGAATAAATGTGTTACTTTCCTCCATTTAGCCGCATCCTCCTCCTCCAGCGCCTTTCTTTTATTGTTTCTCTCCCTCTCTGCACCTCCTTTCCTCTTCCTTTTACCACATTCGTATTTTATTATATTTTGATTTGATTTATACACTAAATTTCAGGAACCAGTTTCTGGGAGGGATTTTTAAACAGCAGTTTAATCCAATCCAACCAACACAGGATGCAATTATATTTTTCTCTTTTTATTCCTATGAAATGCTTCATATTCATTTCACAGCTAAAACACATCAGTGTACCAAACTGATCAGGTTCATTTTAGCAGAGCTGTGATTATTTTCTACCAGTCTGTCTTTTACTGAGCAGCTCTGTTGAGTCTGACAGTAAACTGGATCCAGAACAGAACTGGTTCCAGAGTCCTCATGTTCTGGTTTCTGTCGGCCTGTAGAGCTCCTGCAGCTCCTCCATGATGGAGGATAATAAAGCTCAAAGTGCAGGAAGTTCTATCTGTACA